TATAGATATAGTATAGATATAGTAATATAGATATATATATATATATATATATATATATATATCCGTTAGAAAAGTTGGAGATAATAGATACACACATATGTGTGTGTGTGTGTGTGTGTATGTATGTATATGTATAGACAAATGTATATATCTATTTATAGCTCCAATATGTATGTCTGACTTTGTGCTGCACGCTATACTGATACCTATTTTTCGAATAGTAGGTATCAGTATAGCCTTGATTGGCTATACCACATGAGCATGTGTACGGTACACATGCTCATGTGCGTATAGGAAGGTAAGATGAACGGCGCCTACATTTATTCCCGTACATTTCAGCCGAACTTTCTTATCAATCGCTTATATCCTAATCACAATGATATGACGCCTGTGATATAGACCCTAAACCCTAAACCCTAAGCTTTAAACCTTAAAACAGAATGGTGGATGAGAACGGAATACCAATACATGCAACCCTCACCACCCGCCCCACTAAGCGAAGAGGCGGTCGCAAAATTCAACCCGTGACAACAGAAGCGCAGCCGGAAGCTGACGAGGACAAGGGTGTGTTTATGACCAAGACTATCGTTTATTTAAGAATCGATTGCGTAAATATGTATATATACATATATATATATATATATGTGTGTGTGTGTGTGTGTATGTATATATATGTATATATATACATACATATATATACATACATATATATGTCTGTGGTGTGTTTGTATATATATATATATATGTGTGTGTGTGTGTTGTTATATATATATATATATATATATATATATATATATATGATTGTGTGTGTGTGTATATGTCTAGATCTATATATATGTATATATATGATCAGTTCCATAATCAATACCTATACAATCGTATCACGTAGGCAAACAAGCGGATGAGTGGAGTTATGGTATGGACATATTCGATTGGAATTCTGTAACCGGTGGCACCGCCGACGGCACCGCATACGATGACCACTTCAACAGAGCAATGGCACTAATTCAACGATCCTTAGATATCCCTGAGGCTCTACACAGGCAAACGTATGTACTTGTATACATATAATTGCATAATATATATATATATATATTTGATATGTATTTATATTTATATTTAATATATTTATTTATATATATATGTGTGTGTGTGTGTATGTATATATATATGTGTATGTATATATGTATGTATATGTATATATAT